GAGGTCGACAGTGACTGACGCTTGGGTAGGTTCGTCCTGGCTTGAATTGAGCGTAACCTCGAACGCACCAGAGTTGGTAGGATTACTGTGCAGCCGCAGTCTGCTCGCGGCGCGTGGGTAGACTGGTAAGTTGCACGTTTCCAATGGCGTCGTGCTGCTGTTGCTTGTTACGCCCCACTTGGCGTAAGTGCGGGACGCGCATTCGGGCGTATCGCGAATTCGCCCGGGCTGCGGACAAGGGGGACCTTCTATAATCCTGTTCCCCCGATCGTAGTGGTCGGTGTATTTGGGGGGTAGAGCGGTGTGAAGCTCGCGTGGCGTGCAGACTAAGCGAGGAACGTCCCTAAGTCTTCGCTTATTATAAGCGGCGTAGCTCTTCGAGCCTCGAATTATGTCAGTTGTGTGAGTGTGTAGCACCCCTACGCTGACGTGTATCCACTCGCTGTACGCAGTACGCGTATGGCGGCGTGATTAATGGCCGACGAGTAGGATTATCCGCGGCGTGTTTGTCATTCTCAGAGATCGTAATGTCAAATCCACCGTTACCTCCGGCGGGAGTTATGGCGGCGGATTAGTGGGCGCCGTCCATCGCGTGTGAACGCAATGCACTTATCCGCTAAGAACTCACGCAGGGTGAACATCGGTAACATTTACCACGTATCTTCTCAAGTAATGATTATCCCTGGTGGTTACGAATTGATATGCTGGGTTTATGGCAGGTTGCACTACCTTACTTCTGCTATACCACACCCCCACCGTTTGCGGATCATTCGAGGAATGACGGCCGATCGTTCATGAAGATGAACCACGAATGGACACGAAGGAACAGGAAGAGACACAAAGACAGATGGACCTCCTTCAACCACAAGCGGCACCAAAATGCTTCTGCAAATTTGTGCCCTTGGTGTGACGATGTCATGGGATGATGGCTCCCTGGGAGCGCGGGCGTCCCGCCCGCACGATGATGGCTTCCCGGGAGCGCGGGCGTCCCGCCCGCACCAAGCCTGGCACAGCCTTGGCCATCTCCCCCACTTGGATCAACCGGGAACGGCGCCATGGCTCTCCTTCGGCCTGGCCGATGCGGTTTCCGCCGACAGGGTGGCTGCCTGCAGCGTCGCACTGAAGCTCAGCGGCGGCCAAAGGGACAGGATGCGGGCGGGACGCCCGCGCTCCCAGGCCAATCACTCCCCCCTTGAGGAGGAATCGAGCCAGGCGAAGGCTGACGCGGTTGGGGGGTGTCTGGCGGGCGACTTCTCAGAAAGCCGAGCTGCACCCTGTGGGAAACTCCCGTTTGCCCGCGAGCCGTGCCCCGCCCCGCCGGGCGGATCATTTGAGGGTGAAACAACGAACCTTCATGGCCTGTCGGGAACAAGGACCACATGTCCCGTTAATCCGGTTGGCTGTATTTGGGAACATCGATAGACAGGATAGACAGGACAAACAGGACGAGAAGCTGCTGCAGGGGAAGCTGACTGGCTCGATGATCGGGTGCGTGTTCGAAGTGATCCATGAGCCTGGGAGCGGGTTTTGGGAATCCCTGTCGAAGTATAGGCGATGGTTGAACTCAAGACGGTGTAGCCTCTCGCCAAGTAATCCTGTGCATCCTGTGCATCGATGTTAATAAACAATTTACTCACGCTTGACTTTGAACCGGTCTCCCGCCATCCGACGACGGGGTTGTTTCAGGCAAGTCGCGCCCCCGCCCCCCACGACGGGGCGGATCATTCGAGAGTGAAACAGGTTTTGTTTCAGATAAGTCCGGCCCCCGCCCCTCACGACGGGGCGGATCATTCAGAGGAGAAACAGCTAGCCGTTTTCGTTTTGGAAATGAAGACGAACCACAAATGAACACGAATAGGCACGAATACGGATGGAGTTCCTTCAGTGACGAGCGGCGCCCGAATGCTTCTGCACTATTGTGACGTTGGTGTCACGACGTCATGGGAGAAAGCCCCCCGGGAGCGCGGGCGTCCCGCCCGCACAAATCTTGGTATAGCCTCACCCATCTCCTCGACCCGGATCGAACGGCAACGGCGCCATGGCTCTGCTTCGGCCGGGCCCAGGCGATTTCCACCGGCAGGAGGGGCGGGCTGCGGCATCGCAGGGAAACTGAGCGGCAACCCAAGGGATAGCATGCGGGCGAGACGCCCGCGCTCCCGGGGGGTGCTGTCCCGATGGTGCGCCGGGGGGTATCCGGCGGGCGACTTCTCTGCGAACCGACCGGCGCCCTTTGGGAAACTCCCGTTTGTCCGCGAGCCCTGCCCCCGCCGTGCCGTGCGGATCAAACCAGAGTGTAACAATCAGAAATCGACCATCCCGTCGCGACCTTGGTATCCCGTCGCGGTTAACCTCAACGCCTTAGTGGCCCTTCGTCGTTCTTAGTGGCCCTTCGTGGATAACTCTTTTTTCTTTTGTTTCAGGCAAGCCTTATGTCAACACCCTCCACATGGCAGTTCCGACAAGTTGCCGGCCCTTTCGGGCTAACCGAGGGCCCTGCCTGGGATGGCGAAGCCCTGCTGTTCAGCAACCTCCCCAACAGCCGCATCCTGCGATACCACCCTCAAACCCAAAAGACGGAAATCTACCGCCGTGGGACCCGCCTGGCCAACGGCCTGATGCTGGACAGGCGCGGCCGTCTCTTTGCCTGCGAAGCCGCCGGACGATGCATCGCCTGCTACCACCGGGACGGGAGCCGGACAGTCATCACCGACTCCTTCCAGGGCAAGCGGCTCAACAGCCCCAACGATCTGGCCATTGATACCAAGGGCCGCATCTGGTTCTCCGATCCCGACTACAGCCCTCACTGGGCGGAGGCCATCGGTCCGCCGGAGTTGGGACACAAAGCGGTCTACCGGCTGGATCCCCGAGCCGACGGAAGCTGGTCCATCCGAAGGATGACCTGTGACACTGCCCGTCCCAACGGCCTGCTGGTCACACCGGACCTCAAGACACTCTATGTTGCCGAGAGCAACTTCCAGGGCAACCGCCAACTGCGAGCCTATCCCATTCTGGAGGACGGCACCCTGGGCTCCAGCGCGATCCTGCACGATTTTGCGCCCCATCGAGGCATCGACGGCATGTGCCTGGACGTGGAGGCCAACCTTGTGGCCGCGGCCGGCTGGGAGAAGAGCGGCCCGGGCGGTATGATCTACGTGTTCGACCCTCGGGGGCGCATCCTGGAACGGCACCCGACCCCTTGCGAGCGGCCCACCAACTGCAGTTGGGGCGGCCCTGATTTGCAGACGCTCTACCTCACCTCGGTCTGCGGCAGGCTGTACCGAATCGAGACCGGTCGGAAAGGCTGGCTGCTTTTCCCCTGAAGAAGGAGTTCGTATTGCGGTCCAATAAAACCAAGGCCAAGCTCAAGAGAGGAGAATCGGTATACGGCTGCTTCCTGCGCTACCCCGACCCCGCCCTGGTGGAGATGCTGGCCCACTTTGAATGGGACTTTGTCGTGTTGGAAAGCGAGCACGGCCGGCTGGACCCGCGCACCTGTGAAGAGATGGTGCGGGCTGCCGAGTTGAACGGCATCACCCCCATCGTGCGGGTGACCACCAATTCCCCATCGATCATTCTGAGATTTCTGGATAGCGGCGCCCAGGGCATCATCGTTCCCCAGGTCAACTCGGCGGAAGAAGCCGAACGGGCGGTGGCGGCCATCAAGTTTCACCCCCGGGGGAATCGCGGGCTGTCGGGATCGCGGGCGGCTAATTACGGCCAAGGGCTCTCCTTCGGCGATCACGTCCTCCAGTCCAACCGGGAAACCCTGGTGGTGCTCTACGTGGAGACGGCGGAAGCGGTGCGGCAACTGCCGCAGATTCTGGCAGTGGAGGGTGTCGATGTGGTCAACGTGGGGGCGCCACGATCTCTCCCATTCGCTGGGGGTGACGGGCAGCCCGAGCATCCCCGAATGCAGCGTGCCTCCAGGAAATACTGGCAGGGGTGCGCAACTCCCCGGTGGCCCTGGGCATCATGGCGGCCAACCCCGAGGCGGCCCGCCAGTGGCGCGCCCGAGGGGCACGCTACATCAGCATCAACCTGGAGTCGCTGTTGAAGCAATCGATGCAGGAGTTCCTGAGCGGCGCCCAGGAGTGAGAAGCACCCGCTTAAATTCCAGGTACCAAGGTATGCCGGACCTTGAAAAAACCCATCACAGGGCAAAAGTGAGCGTTGATTTGGTGCGGATCCAGCCCAAAATCTGAGTTTTCCCACAGACAGCGAGCCAGGGCCTCTGAGAGGGAAAGCGCCCCGATAGGTAGGAGCAGAGATCGGCGCTTGAGGTAACCAGGGGACGTTGTCGAATAATTGGAATAAACTGGATTGGCGGTTCTGTAATCCCTTGGCGATGACGGGTTTGGAGGAGTTTACCTGGTGGGGAATCTATGGCCGATTTTCATCCGACCTCTTCCTGCATTCGGTGTGAGCAAAGTTATTCCAGCAATTCAACAACGTCCCCTGTCTCCCTCACGATCACTATCTGGGGCTGCTTCCCCGCTTTCTCGCGAGGTGCGGCGCACGCCTTTGGGTCAATCCAAGCTTTGACAATGTGACCGATATCAAATGGTCATCCGTTCTACGGCTGCGAGCGGTGGAGAACCGATTCTTCGCTCTCTGCACGCTCCATTGCGACGTGAACCGGCGGAGAACCCACCCCTTTGCGTTCTCTCCCGACGGCACTGAGCTCTCGGCGTTGCCTGTGCCGGGAGGGTAACGCCGACGGCCCGGAACAGCCGGCGTGCGCGGGTTGCCGAGGGACGGCTCGGGAGCGGTGTTGCCAAAAAGCCCTTTTGGGTCGCCGGAACGGTACGATCGGGCAGATTCGAAGGCCGGAGCGGTAGCGAAAGGAGTACCGAACGTGGCAGTAGTGCGAAACCGTTGCATCGCGGCCATGCTTTATCTCTGCCAGGAAGGTCAAAAAGGAAATCCTGGTTGATATAGTAAAGGGGGAAGTACAGGCATGCTCTGTGCATGGAATTGCGTGGAGAACTCCGGGCATACATATGATTCGACTTTCCGCGGCCAGAAAACACTTCGGCTCCAAGAGCTTATTCGAAGGTCTCGACTGGCTTATCACGCCGACGGATCGCATTGGACTGGTGGGCGGGAACGGGACAGGTAAGACAACGCTGCTGAAGATCCTGGGGGGGATGGAGCCCCTCGAGGGCGGTCTGTTTTCTGCGCCGAAAGATATTACTGCCGGATACCTTCCTCAGGATGGCCTGTCACTGTCCGGGCGCACAGTTATGGAAGAATGCCTCTCTGTTTTTGGCGATCTGCTCGAACTCGAGGAAGAAATGGAAGCCCTGACTCACCAGATGGCGGAAGTTGATCCGCGCAGCGATGAGTACCACCGGATCACGGATCGTTATCACCGGATCGAGACCGAATTTCAGGGACGGGACGGCTACTCATTGGAGGCGCAGGCCAGCACGGTGCTGAATGGCCTGGGCTTTGCGCCCGCAGATTCAAACCGTCCGACGGAGGAACTCTCCGGCGGCTGGCAAATGCGCTTGGCGCTGGCCAAGCTCTTGCTGATCAAGCCCAAGCTCTTATTGCTGGACGAGCCGACGAATCACCTCGATCTTGAGGCCCGCAACTGGTTGGAACAGTATCTGAATGAGTATTCGCACGCCTTCGTCCTGGTCTCCCACGACCGTTACTTTCTGGATGCCACGGTGAATAAGATTCTCGAGCTGTGGAATGGTCGCGCCTACTTTTACAGCGGGAACTACGAACGCTATCTGGCCCAGAAATCCGAGCGCCAAGCGCAACTTCAGGCGGCCTATCGCAACCAGCGGGAAAAGATTAAACACCTCGAACTCTTCATCAATCGCTTCCGCTACCAAGCCACGAAGGCAAAGCAGGTACAGAGCCGAATCAAGGAACTCGAGAAGATTGAACGGATCGAATTACCTGCCCAGGAAAAGACCATCCACTTCGCGTTTCCTCAGCCACCCAAGAGCGGACGCATGGTGGCCGAGTTTCGCGGGGTCGCCAAGAGTTATGCAAGCAAACAAGTATTCCAAGGCATGAGCTTCGTCATCAGCCGCGGGGATCGCATAGGCCTGGTGGGGGTGAATGGAGCGGGGAAATCCACACTGATCAAGATACTGGCTGGAAGCGAGCCGGCAACGGCAGGTGAATTCGGCTGGGACACAACGTGGAAGTCGACCATTTCGCACAGGACCAGTATAAGGCGCTCGACCCTGGCGCCCGCCTGATCGATGATGTCTCGAGCATCGCACCCAGTGCCCTGAGCGGCCAGACGCAACTGCGCACTCTGCTCGGCTGCTTCCTGTTTTCGAGTGACGAGGTCTTCAAAAAATTCGCGTTCTTTCGGGTGGTGAGCGCAACCGCTATGCGCTCCTCCGCATGTTGCTGCGGCCTCGAAATTTTCTGTTGCTCGATGAGCCCACCAACCACCTCGACCTGCGAGCCAAGGACGTACTGCTCGAAGCACTGCAAGAGTTCAGCGGGACGGTAGTCTTTGTTTCCCACGATCGATACTTCATTGACAAGCTGGCAACGCGAATCTTTGAGATCGATGGGGGCAAGTTCCTGGATTATTTCGGCAATTATGAAGACTACTTGTGGCAAAAGAACCACCTCACGCTCCAACGGGATGATCGAGAGAAGCCGCCGCGCGCGGAGAAGTCAGGGGGATCCGGAGACCGGAGTGGAACACCGTTGCGACGGAAACAGCTAAATCCTATTCTTGTCCGGGAAATGAAGGAGCGGCACGAGGGGTTGGAGGAAGAAATCACCCGGTGTGAAGTGGAAATTGCCACGCAGGAGTTGGATCTGGGCACTTTCAAGAGTGCAGAGGAATCACTCCGCCTCGTCAAACTGGTGGAGCACAATCGCAAGCGGTTGGATGAAATGATCAAAGAGTGGGAGGAACTTTCGAGAACTCTGGAAGAATCGGACAGGAAGTCTTCCGTAATACGGAGTTAAGAGGATCTCACGAAGTGCTGGAAGCCTTACCATTGCTGTACAATATGATCATGGTAAGCTACGCTTCTGATGAGGAGCAAGAACTCAAGACACCATGTCACTGCTGAAGAAAATATATGGGTCGAATGACCCTAGAGACCTGGCTGCCTACACGGTGGCTGAGGCAGCTCGGTATGTGCGGATTCCCGCTCCAACACTTCGCGCCTGGGTAGCTGGCCAGTCCTATGCTCAGCATTCGGGACGCCCTCCTTTTCGTCCGCTGATCACTGCACCTGAAAACAACCCTCCTCGCCTTACTTTCAATAACCTCATTGAGGCGTATACCTTGCGGGCGCTGAGAACGAAGCATGCGGTGTCTATTCAAGCGGCACGCAGAGCGATCGATTTTGCAGAACAGTACTACAACATCAACCGATTGCTCCTCCATCCAAAATTGCGCACCAGCGCAGGAGATTTGTTTCTCGAGAAATACGGGGAGTTTGTCAATCTAATCAATCGGGTCAACTCGTGATTGCGAAGCTTTTCAACAATTATCTAAAGCGGATTGAACTGGACGGGTTCTACCTTCCCGCACGCCTCTATCCATTTGACAACGATATAGACAAAACCATCGTGATCGACCCTCAAGTTGCCTTTGGGCGTCCCTTCATTGCGCGTCGTGGCATCTCAACGGCGGCGATCGTTGACCGTGTCAACTCCGGGGAAAGTTATAACGAAATCGCAGCTGACTATGGCCTTGATCCAACGGAAGTGGAAGAAGCGTTGTTTTATGAGCAGGCAGCCTAAGCGTGATCTTCTTTACAGACCGTGATCTGGGCTCGCTATTCCCTCAGATACTTTCCAACGCAGGCCTTCATGTAGAAAAACACGACGACCACTTCCCTGACCGCAAGACTCCAGATGCCTCCTGGTTGTCAGAGGTAGGCCGCAACGGGTGGTTTGCCCTCTCAAGAGACAAGCGCATCCGCTACAGGCCAAACGAACAGGAAGCCACCATGAGGGCTGGCGTCGGTCTTTTTATCATCGTAGGACAGGCCAGCCATCAAAAACTGGCGGAACACTTTGTCGCCTGCGTTCCCAAAATCACTCGTTTCTTAAGGAAGCATCAGCCTCCCTTCATCGCAAAAATATATATGCCTTCCCCTGGCCAGAAACGTCAGAGCCTTCGCAAGACGGGACGCGTCGAAATGTGGCTCTCGCATCAAGAGTGGTCGAATCGCGCGCCTTGAAGAGAGAAAACGATTACCGCTTGCCTCGGAATTTCCGCTTGTACAGCAGCAGCAATCACCCGACAGTCCCCCTGACAGGTGGCGACGGCCAAACCCGATGACGGGACGACGAAACGGAGCCGAGTGCAGAGCCGCGCAGACAGCCGACATGGGCAAGGCTCTGAGATTTAGCAATGAATAGGGCAGCCTCTACACTGTCCCCCCTCAACGCACGAACCAGCGGATCGGGTAGTGCCCCTGGCTCCGTTCGAACTTCAGGGTGTAGGGATTGAGCAGCAGGCGGGCCACAAACCCGTCGGTGCGGGCCATCAGCCATCCGAAGTCCCACCCTCGACTCTCGTACTTCAGCGGCGCCCCCGGCTTGACTCGAACCAGGGGATGGGTTCCGGCAATGAACAGGTCCTGCTCCGTATAGTAGTAGCAGGACCCGGTCTTGACGAAGACCTCATGGTCGATGCTCTCCTCGTCCTTCCCGGCAAGGTCGGCGCAGAGCCCCCGGACGGCGATCTTGACCTCCTTGCCTGAGGCCACCTCTCGACCCAGCTCCTCCGCTGAGCCCGAGAGCACTTTCCCCTTGCAGTGTGGGCCAGCACCTCCTCCCAATCGTCTCTCACCAGGTAGTTGAAGAGGTCGAAATCGTAGATGAAGTTGCTGCTGGGAGCATTGGTCCCCTTGTCCCAACTGTCCAGTTGGTGGTACTTGGGCATGCTGCCGTGGTCATCCACCTCCGTGGGGCCCGGTTCGGCCGTGACCTCTCCCCCATCCAGAAAGGGGCGGGCGATGGCCTGCCGGCCGTCCTGGTTGTAGAGGAAAAAAGACATGGAGGGCCTCGACCCGAAACCTTCCGGCAGGCTGATGGGCTGGCGCAGGGTCATGATTCCAGCCACCCATCGATCCTCGATCAGATAAGTGCCGGCGAACTCCGCCACTTCCTGGATCGCCTCGGCATTGTCCGAACCGGTATCGATGTGTTCGTTGTTCTTGAATTCCGTCCGGATGCGCAAGTCGGCCCCCCGGCGGATGGCCGCCGCCAATGCCTCCTCGCTTCCCGAGAGGCGCCCTCTGGAGGCATCCAGCTGGTATGCGGACTTCCAGGGGTTTTCTTTCTCCCGCGGTTTGGCGCAGCCGGCCAGGCTCGCCAGGGCAGACCCCAGCACGCTCCCCAAACCGGCCCCCAGCAACCGCCTGCGACCCTGTCCTTTGAATGGCATCGGCAACACCCCCCTTTCCTTGCAGTTTCGATGATGGATGATCGGCCCCTTTTTGCAGCAGCGGCAACGCCGCGGCGGTCATCGGGGCCGTGGTTCGACTTCCGGCTCAACCCGCATTTCTCAGCGGGTCGCTCCTGGTGCGATGAAGGCTTACAGTTGGCCCAGCTCCCGCAGAGTCGCCGCCAGTCCCAGAAGGAAAAAGAAGAGGCCTCCCAGAACCATGGCGATCCGGATAAACCAGCCCGGCCTCAACTCCCGTGGAAGCAGGACCATGTTGAGGATCAAGGTATGGCAGCAACTGATGCCCAGCGCGAAATTGTAGCTGATGGTTGCGAACTTGATCAGCGCTGTCGGCGCGTTCAGCCAGAGCATGGTCAAGCCCAAAACGGAGTAGCCCATGATCAGCCCGAAGTAAATCCTGCCGATCCGGGCCGGGTCCACCTGCCGGAGCCTGGAACTGGAGGTCCAGATGGTATCCAGCCAACGGCGGACCACCCCGTCGATGTGTCCGACCATGCTGGGGGCAAGCACCAGAAACCCGCACAAGAGGGTCGAAGCCCAGAAAAGATTCCCCCAGGCGCTGCCGCCCAGGATCTGGGAGAAACCCGTCATGGATGCCAGCACGCCATCGGGAGGGTTGGCGACCTGCCTGCCCACCCCCTCGGCTGTCAGTGCCGCGGCATTCCAGCGGTCGGCCTCGGTGCCGCGACGGAGGAACTCCACCGACAACATGCTGGGCAGCGCCAGGCCGATGAAGCAGGTAGGAATCCAGATGACGCACTGGTCGCGCACGACATGCCGGTACCATCGCCGCCAGCGCGGCAGGGATTGCCGGTTCACCTCGAACACGGACCCCACGTGGGACAGGGTGATCCCCTGACCTCCCACCATGCTGGGGATGGCGCCCACATGATGTCCCATGCCCCAACCCTGCTCGCGGGTGAAGTTGCTGATGGGAGTATTGCTCAACCCTCCGTTGCCGGCGATGGCGGCCATGGCGGCGATAAAGGCGATCAGGGTGAAATCGACGGTGGGGAGAACCCCCCGGCTGAACCAGGAAACGAACAGGTTTTCGACGTTGGGGCCGTCCGGATATCCATCCCCGTCCAGGTCCTGGTGTTTCACCAGTTGCCCCCGGGGGCCCCGCTCCCAGGTGTCCGGCCGTCCGTCGCCATCGGAGTCGACGGTAGGCTCCAGCCTTTGTTCGACCACGTCCAGATGGCCGTCCCCATCCCAATCCTCGCCGGGGTCCAGCCTTCCGTTGCCGTTGCGGTCCTCGCCGCTGAGGACGGGAACGGTTCCGAACTTGAAGAAGCCGCTTCCGATGTCGAACCAGGTAGAGGGGCTGGAATAGAGCAGCGCCACGATCAGCAGGAAGCCGAACACCGTGACCAGCTTGAGGGACATCACCGCCTTCAGCGAGTTGTAGACCTTGCCTCCGAAGATCAGCGGAATCACCGAGGCGGCGAATATGCCGGTGGCGGTGAACTTGTGCATCCACCAGTGCAAGGGCACCGACTCCGGATCGGGCATCCGGCCGCCAAGCAGGAGGATCATGACCGGGGTGGCCGCGGTGGCGGCCAGATAGGGAAAGACCGATCCGAAATCCAGGATCAGGTAGACCCCCAGCCAGAATCGCGGGCCCGGCGGAGTCCGGAATTTTCCGGTGAAGATGGGCTCGCCGGTGTAGAGGGTGTAGCGGCTGATCTCGATGTTGTAGAGGCCCTGGGTCAGGATGCTGAGGGTGGCCAGCCACAGCAGCGCACCCCCATAGCGGGCCGTCACCAGCGGTCCCAGCAGCCACTCGCCGCCGCCGATGGCTCCCGCCCCCGCGACCAGGCCGGGACCCAGGAAGGCATACCAGTTGCTCCAGTTGAACCTGGGAGCGTCGATCAGCTCGCCGGGATTCCACCGCGGCATCTTCCGGGAACCGGGATGGGGAGCAACGAAACCGGTGGGGCCGGGGCGCCCCGGCGCCGCTGGGGCTCTCCGGCTCCGGACGGTCATCGAATGTCTGGCTGCTGTCGCTGGTCATGGGATTCGTCGTCCTCACCATCGGTGTCCAGACCGCTCAGGGGAGTCCTGGTCCGCCAACACTGCCGAGGTGCTCTGGAGGTCTACTACCGTATTCTATCCGTTCCCATGGACCCTACACCGACCGTCCGCCGCGCTTTCCTCATCTACCTGCGAATCCCTCCAGCTTTCCACGCCACAACAGGAAACCTGTAACGCAACGGTTACCTCCTGGCCCTGGTTCCGGTTGGAGGTGGTGAAGGTGAGAAAAGGCGGGCTGACGCTGAGGTATCGGGTCAGTCAAACAAAAAGCGCGCCCGTATTTGCCCTGCGTGAGTGCTGCGTCTGTACTGGGCGGCAGAAAGTGCGCACTGACACCTCGATTGTCCCGTTGAGTCTGAATTGAGGCGCAGCCGCCAGTGCATGCGTTACGGCGCCGTTTGACAAGGCATTTTGTATGATAGTGTTCATCAATAACCAAGGGAATCCAGTCATGGATGTCCAATCAACTCGCTGAAGCCCGCAGCAGGTGACGGGGCGGCGATCAAGAAGAGGCGGCCGCCGTGCTGGCTGCAATGGGACTGACTCTGTCCGATGCCGTGCGGTTGTTGCTGACCAGGGTTGCGCGGGAAAAGGCACTGCCGTTTGCACCGCTGATTCCAAATACTGTCACCATCGAGGCAATGAAGGAAGCCCGAAAGGGCGACATGTCTCGGTTCGACAGCGTAGATGCCCTGATGGACGAACTACGTGCGCAAGATTGAGCGCACCAGCCAGTTCAAACGCGATTACAGGCGTGAGGCCATGGGGCAGCACCGGATGTCACTGGACGCTGCTTTGGTTCCCGTCGTGGTCGCCTTGGCTAGTGACCAGCCCCTGGAACCTCGGCGCCACGACCATGCACTGAGCGACGAATGGAAAGATTACCGTGATTGCCACGTGAAGCCTGACTTGGTGCTGATCTACCGGAAGCACGGCGCCGACACGCTACGGCTTATTCGCCTCGGGTCTCATTCGGAACTCGGGCTTTAAGAAGGTAGGGGTATTCAGGTCTACCTTCGCTGCCCAATGTTCTCACTTCCCCTCCTGTGGTCAGCAGCAGAACCCCCTGAATCCTTGCGTCTTGAGGAACCGCCGATCCGGGGTCCGGTCAGAATCCGGCCCGCTTGTCGCAGATATGCAGCAGAGGGTCTCCCTTGAGGTAGCGCGCCAGGTTGTCCTTGAAGATCCGATAGCGGCGCTCCCAGGTCTGGGGGGAGTCGCCGGAGACGTGAGGGGAGATCAGGACGTTGGGCATATCCCAAAGCGGGCTGCCGTCCGGCAAGGGTTCGGTCTCCACGGCGTCGAAGCCGGCCCCTGCGATGCTGCCCGACCTCAGCCCCTCCACCACTGCCGCCTCATCCACAATGCCGCCCCGGGAGATGACGATCAGATGGCTGCCCTGCTTGAGTTGGCCAATCCTGTCCCGGTTCAGCAGGCCTTCGGTGCCATCGGTGAGCGGCGCCGTCACCACGAACCAGTCGGAGATCCGAAGCAAACGCTCCAGGCCCTCGAGAGTCCAGACCTTGGCCACTCCCTCCGGCGGCTTCATGGGCTTCAGGTCCACGCCATAGACCCGGATGCCAAAGGCCTGTGCCCGCACGGCCACAGCCCGCCCGATGGATCCCACGGCCAATAGTCCCATGGTGGTGCCCTCGAGCTCCCTCATCTGGCCACGGTACTTGTCGACGTCCCAGCGATGGGCCCGTTGATCGTCCAGCATGTCGACCAGCCGATGGGCGAGGGTCAGAATCATGCCCATGACGTGGTCGGCCATGGCGATGGCGTGGGTGCCGGGTGCGTTGGTCAGAACCACGTCGCTGGCCACGAAGGCGGGATTGCCCCGCACCAGCTGGTCGAATCCCGCCCCGACGAAGTGGCACCAGCGCAACTTCCTGGCCGCCTCGAAGACGGCCGGGGTGATGGCCCCGAACAAGACCTCTGCGTCGGGGATCTCCCGGATCTGATCGGCCTCGGTAGGCGCCTGACAGAAGTTGACTGAAGGGAAAGAGTTCCTGAGCTCCGCGACAAACTCGCGGTCGGCTTCGCTGTCGAGGACAACTTTCATGGATGTGAGCCTCCCATGGTCATTGGATACGCGAGAAAATGCGACCGAAGTTATCGCACCGCTGGGCAGCCGTCAAGCCCGGCAACGGTTCAGGTTCAGGCGATCCGGCCCATCGCGCCACCCTCAGGTTCAGTGACTGAACCTTCGAGACAGGGTGTACAATGCCGTTCCTGCCTTCCCTGATCGACGGTCGGGCGACAACCAATCCAGGAGGTCTCCCTTTTGGCTGCCCTCTCCCAGATTCAACTCCAGTGGATGGACTACGGGTTGATCGTTGCCTACGCGCTGCTGGTCCTGGCGATCGGCTTCGGATTTTCGCGCCAGCAGGGAAGCTCGGCAAACTACCTGCTGGCGGGACGATCCATGGGCTGGGTGACGGTCGGCATCTCCCAACTGGCCAGCCTGCTGTCGGCCATCAGCTACCTGGGAAGCCCGGGCGAAGCCTATGGCTACGATCTGCAGTATCTCCTCTTCAGCATCTGCGGATTTCTGTCCGTGCCCGTCGCGGTCTATCTCTTCCTGAACTTTTTCTATCGACTGCAGGTGACCTCCATCTACGAGTACCTGGAACGGAGGTTCAACTATCCCACCCGGCTCCTGGCCAGCGCGGTCTTCGTGGCCGCCCGACTGGCCTGGATGGCCACCATCGTGGTGGCCGTCTCCCTGGCCATCGAGGAGCTCACCGGAATCGAGCCCGCGGTCTCCATCCTCCTGACCACGGCGGTGGCCACCGCCTACACCCTGGTGGGCGGCATGAAGGCCATTATCTGGACCGACGTCCTGCAGTTTTTCCTCTTCACCCTCGGCCTGGCTGCAACGGTCGCCTTGATCTTCTGGAAGGACTCGCCCGTCCGAGATCCTGGCCGTGATCGTCCGCGACGACAAGTTGAGGATGTTCGACTTCAGCCTGGATCCCACAACCCGCCTCACCGTCTGGATGGCCCTGACCGCCGGCGTGGTGTCGGGCCTCGCCAACGTGACCGATCAGGTCAGCATGCAGCGCTACCTCTCCTGCGGGTCCCTGCGAGACGCCCGGCGGGCGGTGTGGTTCAAGCCCTTCCTGTCGATCCCGGTCACCCTGCTGACCTTCGGCCTGGGGCTGGCCCTTTACGCCCACTACCAATTGAACCCGGACCTGGCCGTGGGGATCGGGAGCGCGGACCGGGCTTTCCGCACTTTTGTCCTGAACGAAATGACGGGCGGCCTGGCAGGCCTCATCCTGGCCTCCATATTCGCGGCCGCCATGTCCAGCATCGATTCGGGAACCCACACCATCAGCACGGTCTGCGTGGAAGACTACTACAAGCGGCTGATTCGGCCCGATGCTCCCGATGGCCACTGCCTGCGGCTGGCCCGTGGGCTGACGCTGCTCTGGGCTGTTGTCATCGCGGTGCTGGCCCAGTTCCTGACCGGCCAGGACACCATCTTGGGCACCATGGCTCGGTGGTGGCCCCCTTTTTCGGCTGCGCGGTCGGCATGTTCGTTCTGGAACCGCCACCCGGCGGGCCACGGGTGGGGAGCCTCATTGGGAGCCCTGGCCGGCTACGGACTGGTGCTGGTGACGAAATACTGGCTGTTCCAGATCGACGGGCAGTGGTTCCTGCTGCCGGGAGGGCCGGACGTCTATACTTCTGGCGCCGTCGCACAGGTCTCCAAGTTCTGGCTGACCTTTATCAGCTTCGCGGGCACGGTCATTCCGGCTACCTGATCAGCCTGGCGTCCCCTTCCCCCTCCAGGCCAAGCTGCAGGGCCTGACCTTGTGGGACGGGAGGAGCCAGGCCTGAGCTTAGCCCGCACTTCTCACCGGGTCGCTGGATACATTATGAAAGACCGTTTATCCTCAATACCTTATCGGCCCTGTTTAGAGGGAATGCGGGAACAGAATGCGCTGGGCCCGGCCAGGCGCTGAGGGAAGGCAGGTCGAACATGCCTCATCCAGAATCGGAAGCATCCAACAGCGGCCTGCCCGAGGGCCAAGCGGCCCAGGAAGAGACGCGGATCACCGATCCCCCGGCGGCGCTACGATCGCGCAACCCCCTGGCCTGGTTTTCGTTTTTTCGGCCCGGGCGCCATCGTGGCCTCGGTGACGGTGGGCAGCGGAGAGATCGTCTTCCCTTCCCGAGGCGGCGCGCTCTTCGGCTATGAACTGTTGTGGATCTACCCGGCCGTAGCCCTGCTGAAGTGGGGCATGGCCTACGCCAGCATGCGCCACATCATCCTCAGCGGCGCCCATCCCCTGCAGCGCTGGACCCACCTGCCCGGCCCGCGCGGATGGCTCCCCCTGGCCATCGTGGCGGTGTCCGTCCTCTGCCTGCCGCTCTGGTACTCCTGGTTGTCCGGGATTCTGGGGACCCACAGCGCCCAAGTCTCGGGGGTTGCCGACCACTGCTTCTGGGCCACCACCTGGGCGCTGGTGGCCATTGCCCTCCTCTGGCGGGGCGGCTACCATTTTCTGGAAAAGGCCCAGATCCTCATCCTGGCCATCATGCTGCTGGCGGTCTTCGTGGCCGTATTCTTCGTCCGGCCCGATTGGCTGGCGGCCCTCAAGGGATTCCTGCTTCCCCACGCGCTGCAGTACCCCGACTGGGCCTTCCAGGTGGTTCCCAAGCTGCGTGAGCGCTCGGAATGGGTGGAAGTCCTGGTCTACGTGTCCGTCATCGGCGGGGGTGCGGAGGACTACCTTGCCTACGTGGCCTTCCTGAGGGAAAAGCGCTGGGGGCGCAGCCACCTGCCGGCCATCGCGGGCAACCAGCTGCGGGAGGTGGCCGCCCGCAGCAACCACCCGGGCCGGATATGGATCCGGGCGGCATTGATCGACACGGTCACCAGCTTCGTCTGCGTGGTCCTGATCGCGGTGGCCTTTACCCTCATGGGAGCGCTCATCCTGCAGCCGCAGCGGCTGGTCCCGGACGGACTGGAGCTGGTCAGCTACCAGGCGGCATTCCTGACCGGTCTGGCCGGCTGGCTCAAGCCCCTTTACGATCTGGCCATCTTCCTGGCCTTCTTCGGCATTCTGCTGGGTGGGCCGGAGATGGCCTACCGGCTCTGGGCTTCTTACCTGGACAGCCTGCCCGCCCTGCGCCGCCGGGTGAACCACCGGCTGCTTCGGGCCGCCGCCATCGGCTGGACGCTCATACCGGCCCTGATCATTCTCTGGACCCTCCGCTGGCTGCAGCAAACCGGGGCGGTGGAGCCGGGGTTCGATCTGCTGGACCTGGTTACTCCGGCAGGGATCTTCACCAGCTTCGTGGCCAGCTTCTTCTGTTTCGCCAACATCTGGGCCGACCGAAGGTTTCTGCCCCCGCCGCTGCGCGCCCCCGCTTTCCTCCAGGCCGTCAACCTGGTGGCCGGCAGCGCTTTTCCTGTTCACCGCCGTCAGGGCCATGGGAAGCTACCAGGGGGTGCTGGGTTACGGGTTCCTCATCCTCCTGCTGGCCGGCTGCATGCTGGCGGCCCGGAAATTGCGGTTTCTGTATAAGGAAAATCCGGCCTGAGGGGTCCCCGGCCCAGGGCAGGCCCGGCACGGCGGGCAGCCGGGGCACCAGGCAAAGGACGCTCAGGCGTGGAGGTCCAGCCATGGCAAGGGACTGGCAGTCACTGAACGAATATACTCTGTTCTGCCGGGGCAGGCTGGCCAACCCCTACCCCCTCTACCATCAACTGCGTTCGGAAGACCCGGTCCACTGGAGCGAGCGGGCCAACAGTTGGATTCTGACCCGCTACGACGATGTCCGGTTTGCCCTGCAGCACGACCCGCGCCTCACGGCCGAGCGGCTCAGCTTGTTGCTGGCTCAACTGCCTCGGGAGGTTCAGGCGGAAGTGGAGCCCCTGCGACGGCTCCTCTCCACCTGGATGCAGTACTACGACCCCCCCGACCACACCCGCCTGCGCTCCCTGGTCAACCGGGCCTTTACGCCGGGAACTCTGGAGCGCCTGCGGCCCCGAATTGAGGCCATCGCCGAGGATCTTCTGGAGGCGGTCCGGGCCAAAGGACGTCTGGACGTGATCTCTGAATTCGCCTACCCGCTGCGGCCATCGCGATTGCCGAGCTGCTGGGGGTGCCCCCCGAGGACCGGGACCGGTTCAAGCGCTGGGCCGACGACCTGACCGTCTTCATGGAAGGGGTGGGCAGCGACTACCCCGCCATTGCCCGGCGCACCAACCGAAGCGTCCTGGAGTTGACCCATTACCTGGGCGGGCTGTTCGACCAGCGCCGGCGGCACCCGCGGGCCGATCTGATCAGCGATCTGATCGCGGTCGAGGCCGGGGGGGACCGGCTCAGCCAGGCCGAGCTGTTCGGCATCTGCTCTTTCTGCTGGAGGCCGGCCACGAAACCACCACCGGCCTGATCGGCAACGGCCTGTTGGCGCTGCTGCGAAACCCCGACCAGTTGAGAAACTGCAACAAAATCCGGCCTTGATCGCCCCCGCCGTTGAGGAATGCCTGCGCTACGACGGCCCCATCCAACGCATTTCCCGGGTGGTGAAGCCGACCTTGAACTGCGAGGCAAACGCTTCGGCCGGGACAGCGCATCTGGGCCATGCAGGGAGCCGCCAACCGGGACCCGCAACAGTTCCCCGAACCCGACCGCTTCGACATCCTCCGCCGCAACAACCGCCACGTGGCCTTCGGCTACGGCGTCCACCACTGCCTGGGGGCGCCCCTGGCCCGCATCGAAGGGCAAATCGCCTTCCTCGCCCTGCTGCGGCTGCCGGAACTGCGGCTGGAGAACCCAGCGCCGGAGTGGCAGGAGGGCGTCTCGCTGCGCACCCCGAAGTCGCTGCCGGTACGGTTCAGGGCGAGTTGAAAGATCGGCTTGGATTCGCGCGGGTGGGGCGGAGCTCAGAACGGAATGGACATGCGGATGCGCACGCCCATGTCGCGGCCCGGCTGCTCTTCCCCCGAATGCCTTGCAGTTCCAGGTTCAAGGGGTTGGTGTCGGGACTACGGGGTTGAAGCCGAATTCGCTCCCAACACTCAATTCCTTGCCGTGGCCAGTCCAGCGGAGGCGGCTGAAAGGCGTGAGCAGGCCTCTTCCCTGTAGCACCTCCATGCTGTAGGCGGCTTCGCTGTCGATCCGGTTCAGGGGTACAGGATTTTCCGGCAAGCCTCTGCCCTGGCCAAACGCATAGGCATGGGAATGGTCCCACAAAGTGGCGCCGCCCCGGCCATTTTGTCCGTGGGAGGACGCGGCTGACATCCGCAGACCGCGCCGCTTGTTCCCCGGATCCCAACTCGCTTGCAGTCCGGCTCCCCAGTCCCGGTAGCCCCCATCGTGAAACAGCAGCATTCGACCCTGCAAGGACAGATCCAGACCGGTTGGAGTGTCGATGAACCCCAGGCGCAAACCCGCTTCCATGGCCGCGCCGTGCACCGCCTCCCCTCGATCCAGACGGCCGCCGATTTCACCCTTCAGGCTGAAAGAGCGTTTCCGGCCACCGCGCTGGTGGACCGCCTCCAGCATGGCCCGAGCTCGCGACGCTCTCCCGAACACCTCACGAATCTGCTCAAGAGGATCGATAGCGATGTTGGACATGAATCCATCCAGACGAAATCCCAGCTCATTCTTGCCCGGTTTGGTCAGAACGGAGCGCAGCCCCCCGGCCCACATCCGAAATTCGGAATTGAAGACGTGCGCCAGGCGGGGGTCCCTGAGGTCAACGGAGCCGCGTCCCATACCCCCGATCCCCCAAAGGCTGAGGCGGCGGTGCGGCTGCCAGTACAGGTAGGGATGAAACGTGTTGAAACTGGCTGCCAGTCGCCCCTCTCGATCGTCGCTGTAACCCATGGCGCCCCAGCTTCGCGCAAAGGAAAGGCCGGTGAGAACGTGCCGGTTGGAAAGAAGGTCCATGCCGACGTGGGTCGCGCTCAGTCTCCCTCGGAAATCGACCAGGGAGCTGGTGCCGTTGAAGTGCTGGAAATCGCCGTGTCCCCACAAGACGGGCCGCCAGTGAGTCCCGTCAAAGGCGTTGCCTGCAAGAGGCAATCCGAATGAAGCCCGAGAAAGGATCGGCTCAGTCTCAGGCCCCCCGGAAGGATTGAATTCTGGTGAAAGCCGGGATCGATCCTGATAGTAGCTGGGCATCCACCAGCCCTGGTCTTGCTTCATGCGTTGCATTTGGCGCCGGCGTTCAAAACGAGATTCAACGGCTGTCTGGATGCTCTCCGCCAGCGCCCCCGACATGGCCGACAGGAGCACCGGAAGTGTCCGGGTGAGTTTCTCGGCGGTGCGGTCGGTAATGGTAACCAGGAGCGGAGTGACGGAGATGCCCTTATAGTTTGGATCCAGACTGACGGCGCTGTGACTGAGCACTTCATTTTCGTCCAGGGTGTTGTCGTCGTGGAAAGTATCAAATGCCACGGTTTGAGCAACGCTCCAGTTATCCTGGGTAAACGTAACCTCATCAAAGGCGGCGGTCAGCATTTGGGGGTTGGAGCTCGATATAGCGACAGCCACTGTGGCCAGGGGCTGAGAGAGCAGAACGATGGTATAGGTCGCGGATTCCCCCTCGGGAACGCTCATGTGCGGATTGGGCACGACTTTAACGCCGGCGTTGTCGTCGTCGTTAATATCGACCGAAACCGCCGAGACGGAAATCCCGTGGTAGGCGGGATCGGGACTGGTGGTTGAAAAGGTCAAGGTGGCTACCTCGTCGGTAGCATCCTCATCCTGGGCAACCGGTACCATCACCTCTTGAGCAGTGGACCAGGTTGTGGGGCTGAAGGTCAAAAAGGCGGGGGATGGCGAGACATCGTTGTTGTTGCTGTTCAGGGAGATATGGACCTCGGCCGAGGGCTTGCTTACCAGTGCCACCGTGCAGGTCTCGGAGGTCCCCTCCAGTACGGCGAGTTCGAGGGGAGAGACGTTCACCCCAGTAGTGTCGTCATCAATCACTGAAACCGAAACATCCGAGACCGTCAAACCGCCATAGGCGGCGTCCGAGCTGCTGGTTGAGTGGAGCAGGGTAGCAGCGTCGTCCACCGCGTCCGAATCCTGCAAGGCTTGAACGGTGACCGCCTGGGGGTCTTGCCAGTTTGAACCGGTGAAGGTCAAAGAGTCGGGCTGGGGGACCACGTCCTCGTCCCCGGTCCGATCCACCTCAACGACGACATCCTGAGACGGCTTCGACGCCAGTACCACGGTGTAGGTCCGGGAAGCCCCCTCGTCGATGGTGAGGTTCAGGGGAGTGATATTCACGCCTACCGAATCAAGGTCGCCGACAGTGATCCTCACCGGGTCGACAGGCGCACCGTCATAGGTCGAATCGGAGCTACTGACGGAGTGCCTCAAGGTAGCAGTGTCGTCCACCGCGTCCGGATCCCGGGAAGCTTGAACGGTCACGGTGCTTGGGTTGTCCCATTCTGAAGGCTCAAAGGAAACCTGGGCCAAATTCGCGGATATGTCCGGATCGCCGCTATGGCTCAGGGCGACGACAACCGGACGGGATGGCCTTGAGGTCAGCGCCACGGTATAGGTTGTGGAGGCGTCCTCGGGAATTGCCAATCGGGTCGGAGCGACCTTTACACCGGCCGTCTCGTCGTCGGTGACGGTGACGGCCACTTCCGGAACAGCGATTCCGTTGTAGTCGGTATCGGCGCTGGCCATGCTGTGGCCGAGTGTCGCAGTATCATCGATGGCATCGCCGTCTTGTGAGGACGAGACCGACACTGTCTTTGCCATGCCCCAGTCGGAGTCAGTGAAGGTCAACTCCTGGTCACCGATGCTGATGTCCCCGTCGCCGCTGTGGGTGATGGTGACGGTCACTTCGTGGGAGGGCTGGGAGGTCAGAACCACCTGGTAGCTGTCGCTGGCTCCCTCGGCAATGGTCAGCTCCTCCGGCCGGATCGACACACCGGCGGTCTCATCATCGGTGACGGCAACGTCCACCTCTGAAACCCCGATCCCGTTATAGTCCGTATCCGTGCTGGCGACCGAGTGGCTGAGTGTTGCAGTATCGTCCCTGGCATCGTCGTCTTGGGCGGCCGAGACCGTCACCGCCTGCGCCGTCTCCCAGTCGGAGTCAGTAAAGGTTAACTCCCGGTTATCGATGCCGATGTCCGGGTCCCCGCTATAAATGACGGTGACCGTCACGTCGTGGGTCGGCTGCGACGTCAGAACCACCTCATAGCTGTCGCTGCCCCCTTCGGCGATGGTCAGCTTCGTTGGCGTGATAGACACACCGGCGGTCTCGTCGTCGGTGACCGCGACGGCTACCTTAGAAACCGTGATCCCGTTGTAGTCCCCATCGGTGCTGGAAACGGTGTGGCTGAGTGTCGCCGTATCGTCCCTGGCATCGTCGTCTTGGGCGGCCCTGACGGTAACGGTCTTCTCCTGGCTCCAGTCGGAAGATGAGAAAGTCAACCTGTCCGGGGCGCTGTCTATTTCGGCATCCCCGCCGTGGGTGATGGTGACGGTCACTTCGTGGGACGGCTTCGAGGTCAAGACCACCTCGTAGCTGTCGCTGCCCCCTTCGGCGATGGTCAACTCCTCCGGCCGGATCGATACGCCGGCGGTCTCGTCGTCTCTGACGGTAACGTCCACTGCCGAAACCGTGATCCCGTTGTAGTCCCCATCGGTGCTGGAAACGGTGTGGCTGAGTGTCGCCGTGTCGTCCCTGGCATCACCGTCTTGGGCGGCTGCGACCGCAACCGTCTGCGCCGCCTCCCAGTCGGAGTCAGTGAAGGTCAACTCCTGGTGATCCATGCCGATATCCCCGGCGCCGCTGTGGGTGATGGTGACGGTCACTTCGTCGGTCGGCTGTGAGGTTAAAACCACCTGGTAGGCGTCGCTGCCCCCTTCGGCGATGGTCAGCTTCGTTGGCGTGATCGACACGCCGGCCGTCTCGTCGTCGGTGACGGCAACAACCACTTCTGGAACAGCGATGCCGTTGTAGTCCTCATCGGTGCTGGCCACGGCGTGGCTGAGTGCCGCAGTATCATCGATGGCGTCGGCATCTTGGGAGGACGTGACCATAACCGTCTGCACCGTGCCCCAGTCGGAAGACAGAAAGTTCAACCTGTGCGGGTCGCTGTCGATATCGGCATCCCCGTTGTGGGTGATGGTGACGATCACGTCGTGGGCCGGCTTCGAGGTCAGGACCACCTGGTAGGTGTCGCTGCCTCCTTCGGCGATGGTCAGCTCTTCCGGCAGGATCGACACGCCGGCCGTCTCGTCGTCGGTTGCAGTGACCTCCACTTCCGAAACCCCGATCCCGTTGTAGTCCCCATCGGTGCTGGCCACGCTGTGGCTGAGTGTCGCCGTGTCGTCCCTGGCGTCTTCGTCTTGGTCGGCTGAGACCGTAACCGTCTGCGGCGTCTCCCAGTCGGAGCCAGTAAAGGTCAACTCCTGGTGATCGTTGCCGATATCCCCGTCGCCGCTGTGGGTGATGGTGACGATCACGTCGTGGGCCGGCTGGGAGGTCAGGACGACTTCGTAGCTGTCACTGCCTCCCTCGGCGATAGTCAGTTGCCTTGGCGTGATAGACACGCCGGCTGTTTCGTCATCGGTGGCAGTGACATCCACTTCCGGAACCGTGATCCCGTTGTAGTCCCCATCGGTGCTGGCTACCGAGTGGCTGAGTGTGGCCGCGTCGTCCCTGGCGTCTTCGTCTTGGTCGGCTGAGACCGTAACTGCCTGCGGCGTCTCCCAGTCGGAGCCAGTGAAGGTCAACTCCTGGTCGTCGATGCTTACGTCTTGGTCCCCGCTGTAACTAATGGTGACGGTTACGTCATGGGCGGGTTGCGACGTCAGGACCACCCGGTAGCTGTCGCTGCCTCCTTCGGCCATGGTCAGCTCTTCCGGCAGGA